GGGGGGGCCGCGGGCGGGGCGGGCCGCGCTTACCTCTTTCTCCGCCACTTCTCGGATCAGGACCTGCGGCAGCAACAAAAGGGGGTCGGGGGACAGGGAAGGGGGAAACAGAGACAAAAATTAGGAAGGAGGACAGAGGGGCGGTGGGCGCGCGCCGCTCCCCCCCCCCTCCTTCTCCTCCTCCTCCTCCTCCTTCCCCGGCCAGGCCCGGCGCCATCCGCCCGCCCGTCCGCCCGCGCGTCCCTACCTGAGCCGCTTGCTGGCAGGGCCCGTCCTCCAGAAAGCGGGCGATGAGGAAGTAGAGCTCTGCGGGGAGAGGGCAGGGTGAGGGCTGCGGCTCCCGGCCCCGCCGCCCGCCCGCCCGCCCTTTCTTCCCCCTCCCGCCCGGCACTCACCCGCTCGCAGCTCCGCCGTGTGCCTGCCGCCGCCGTCCCCGGACATGGCGAGGGGAAAGCGGGAGGTGCGGGGGGGCCGCGCCCGTCACCGCCGGCTCCGCGGGCAGCGCCTCGGCTCCGGCATTCGCCCCGCGGGCAGCGCGGCGGCGGGAGGAGGAAACAACAACTCGCGGCCGCCCGCAACGCCGCCGCCACCGCCAGCCGCCGCCAGCGCGATCCCTCCGCCCGGAGAAAGAGTCCCTTCCTCCTCCGCTCCGCGCCCCCCGCCTCAGCCCCGCCGCCCGCAGCGCCCCTCCCCCCGCGTCCCTGGACGCAGCTGCCGCCGCCCGGTCGGGGAAGGAGGGCGGGCGGCCCGCGACTCCCGCCCCGCCGAGCCGACACCGAAGGGAGCGCTTTGACTGGCGGGCCGGTCGGCTCGCGCGGGGAGAAGATGTCGGAGCGGCGGAGGCGGGGCGGGCGGGAAGGCGGCGGGCGGGATGAGGCCGCTTTCTCTGCGCCGAGCAGGCGGGCGGCCGGAGCGCGGAGGGATACGGCGCGCGGCGGTGGGAGGCGGGGCCGCGCGGGCAGCGGGAGCCGGGAAGTGGCCGAGCGGAGTGGCGCAGCGCGGAGCGGAGCGGGCAGGGCGCCCCCGGGCAGCGCGGCCCCTGTGGGGGGCGGGTGGCACCGCGACCCTCCTCCTCCTTCTCCCTGCTGCCGCTGCCCGCGGGCTCCCCGCGAGGCGTCGGAGCGCGTAAGTGACGCGGTGCTGCGGTTCCTGGTGCTGCTTTTAGGACAAAAAAAAACAAAAAAAAATCGCTTTTTTAATTTTTTTTTTTTCTTTCTTTCTTTCTTGCTTTTATTTTATTTTATTTTTTTTTCCCTAATCGTTGCCCTCCTCGCACAAAAGCGCTGCCAGAGCGATCGTGGCGCCTTGGTTCGCCGCTCGGTAAGGTAACTGCCGGCCGTGCGGAGCCGCCGCGGGGCTGCGGGCTGCGGGCGCGCGTGGGCCAAAGCGGGACGAAAGCGGTACAGATAAATCAAGGCCTGGCCGTGGTCACCCTCTATTTAAAAAGGCTAAATAAATGCAAATGGACGAAGATCATAATCCCAGCCCGGTAAGTAGGGCTGTCGCGAAGCGCAGCCATCCGCGGTGATGGTTTCGTGGCGCGCCGGGCCCGAGCCGCGGCCCTGCCTGCCCGCCTGCCTGCCTCCGTGCCCGGGGCTGCCGGGCCCGGCCCCGAGCGCGCTCTGATGGCTGTGTCCGGAGCTGCCCTCGTTTCGTGCGTCTCAAAATGTCCGCGTCTCCCCTTTTGTAACAGTCCCCGTTCTGTCTTTGGGCTCCTCTTTAAATAAACGCTTCGGCCGAATCGAAATGGCAAAATTAGATCTTCCGGCGTCTAATAAAGGCTGATGAAATGAAGTGACTCGAGTCGTTCTTAGCGCTGTACGACGCGTGCGGTAACGTCTCTCGGAGGTGGCTCTCACAACAAAGGGCTGCGTGAATGCTGCGATTAACGTTTTAATTTCCCCTGATGTTTACATATAGGAAAGCAGACTTATGTGCAGCATCAACTACGCGACGAGGAAGAGGGGATTTGTAACAGTTAAAGAGTCTGAAAGCAGATGAAAACTGCTGTGGATATACTGAGCTTGGTCGTTCTGCAGCGGCTCGTAACTTTCCGTGATGTGTTTCAAAATACAGCCACAAAATTGAAATGTTTTGATGCTAAAATAAAGGTTTTGTCTCTGATTTAATATTTTAGAGGGTCTCCCAAAATGGAATCCCAGTCCCTGACTCAGGCCTGACCAACAGCAGTCCTCCAGACGGCACCTAATGAGAGCTCTCACAAATGCACATCCCGCTTCTTCTTACTGATGAGATCCGATTTTTTCCTTGCTTATTTGTGGCTTAATGTGAAGCCCCGCTAGCCACAAGAGAAGATGCAGGGTTGTAGCTGTTTGGTGAGACGTGCTGAGGCCGGTTGTAAGAATTCCTGCAGCAGCAATAAATACTGCATTAATTTGGGGGGGATTAATGGGATTTTTATTTTTTTGCCTGTTGCAGTTCAGTTGAGGATGCTTTTGTTACATGGAGAAAAATAACCCCGACTCTGATTTTTGTGGTCTCAAGTGTTGTGCTTTCAAATAGTTCCCCCTCCTTCGTGTGATCTTGTCACCTTGCATTATCCTTATGTACAAACGCATCATTGCTGTTTTATCACGGAGATTTAATGTTTTTTAACAAGACGTTTTCACTCTGAAATACCTCTATTTAGTGGGAAAAAAAAAAAATGAATTCTTTTTTTTGGGTATAAGAATCGTTTGAGTAAAAAATGAAAATCTCAGATTATTTTAACCTGGTAATTCAGTTGTTTTAACACTGATCGCACTGCGTATTCTTTCTGCAGGTACGAAGAGTGTTACAGCATTTTGTGACTTTCAAATGGGAATATTCACATACGTTCACTGCAATAATGTTGTTAAAAGAAAGATTACTAGAATTTGCTGCTAATAATGCTGAGACATAAAACTGAGTCACTTATGAACTGCCCCAAAGGTTTTTACATTTCCTCTACTTGCTGCCATGGCCTGTTTTCTTCTTTATTTTTTTATTTTTATTTTTATTCTCATTGTTTTCCCCTTCTTCAGTAAGTGTAAATATCCTAATACAGATATGTTAAGAGCAAATGTCCTTCAATTACTCTTTGCTTTTGGGAAACAAGAATGTAGTATCTTTGATTTCTTCCTGATTTTTGTGTTGGGTTTTTTGTTTGTTTGTGTGTTTGTTATTGTTTTTAATTAGTTTTCTTTCCCCATATTAGTTTATCAGTGTAGTTTAATAATGCTGTAACCAGAAAGTGCGCTGCTTGCTGGCTGCAGCTCTCGATGTGAAAGGCTTTCTGTTTCTTGTGAAATCTGGGCTTTTCTTTATAGACAAAGGGAAGTATTTATGGTTTGTAAATCGCTAAGCCGGACAATGTAGCTAAATATTTGAAGCACAATATTGGGGGCTGGGGGTTGAGAGCAACATAAAACATTAACTGAGCTTCCTTAGTCGATTTGTTTTGTTTCATTTCTCCTCCTTTCCTCCCCCTCCCCCCATTGGGAATGATCACCACCAGTTGCTCATCTTTTTGTGAGTGTTGGTTCTTACTCTTGAAGCCAACCATTAATTTTTCAAGGGTGAGAAGACAGGGATGTTACTATGGAGCCAGCCAACTTTGTTTTGTTGTTATTGTATATGTTCTCCACCTGAGAAAGAGCCGACTGTGCCAAAATACAGTGCCTCCGTGAGTAAATGCCTTCTGCACTTTTAAATAATAACCTACAATTTAACAAAATAGCTTCACATCAAAATGGTATTAAATACTCACTTGTTTATGCCTCGTGCCTGAAATGCATCCTTTCTGCGTGCTGTATTGGTGACCTGGCTGAGCCCCACTGCAGAGCTCCTTACTGCAGGTGTAGCCGGTATGACCAGCTCATACCAGGCACCAAATTCCGAGCCATGTGCTTCAATCCTGCGCCTTCTTCTACATTTTTCAGTGCACCCTTTGGCACAGAATGTAGGTGCCTTCCCGCTCAGCCCCGAATAAGCCACTTCTCCTTTTGTTTTCTTCTCATGATGGTGGAGAGCACCGTAGGATTAGAAATCTATGCTACTCAAAGTACCATCATCATTGGCAAATTCGTGTTTTATAAAAGTATGCAGATCGATTCACCTCTAATATGTTTATTAGTAATCTTCCATAGGCAGAAGAGCTAGAGCCAAGTCATTTATAAAAACGTCGCTGTGGTTTTTTTACGTGACATTTGTGTATAAAAAATAAACAATACATTATGAATTATACCATCAAGCTTCTCAAGTTAGATCTATCTGCCATTTGTATTTTGACTAGTAAATGAGTCTGATTGAAATTCATTCTCTGCAGCCTGTTGTTACCCAAATACATGTAAATTGCAGCAACTGCGACATTCTTTCAGTTTCATTATTAAATCTCTGAATGGACTCAAAAAAAAATCCGTTAGGCAGAGAAACTAAGAATCAGACCTATGCAATTCCTACTGAATAAAGGACTTATACTAGTTTAAGGGTTTTTTTCCCTTTTTTTTTTTTTTTTTTTTTTTGGTAGTCATTTAGTTTGTCCCCCTGTTTTTTGTAACAGAGTTTTGATGGAAGTTACCGAATCAGTTTGACAGTACAATTTCCTACGCTGAATACGCTGCCAAACTATCCACACAGTTACAACAAAAAGACTGAACTGTTGTGCTGAACTGTTGGCCCTTGGGCTGCTCTTCACTGAGAGTTTAGGATCTTTGCCGTCTTTGGTTTCATGCCCATATGACATCTCAAAAGTTTTCTCAGAATTTTAAGGGTTATGGTTCGTTTGTTTGTTTGTTTTTTAAGTGAGACTTCCAAAAAACAAACATACAGGGTGTATTTTAGAGGAGGCATACTCAAAAGCAAACGAGGAGGAGGAGGAGGAAGATGTGTTTACACTGTTGCTTTCTATACTGGCAGTTATTTTCTTAAGTCACTCCTAGAAAACTTTCAAAACCAGTTGCAGTTACTGTACTTTCTAGTGGTATAGCCGTGGAACTTCCATAAAGCTAATGCAGTGGACTGTTACAGATAAACATCAATGTAATTACTCCACAGATTCTGCCATGCTGTTATCCGATACACGGTCTGATACACTTATAATTACAGGAAAGGCCGAAGGAAAATATTTCAGTGTTTGCAGATATGCACAGTGCAGTTCAGATAAAACCAGAGGAGGCCGTGAGAAACATCTGCCCAGAGAAGAGTGGAAGATCAATGTTAGTAAAATTTTGTGATGTTACATTTAAAATGATCTGTCAGAAGAAGTGAGTCAGTTATGCTCCTCTTGGGCTCCTAAGACAGGCTAAATTTGATATCTGGTCATAAATCTTTTTAAAAAGACTGCTCTATTTATTATGTACTCACCGTTGAGAATATGGGATTTTTTTTCCCTAGAACTCTAACATGAAACTGATGGTACACCTTACGTTGGAATTCTGTGTTGACTCTTTCTCCTTATCCCCAAAGAATCATAGTTCAGAG